AAGTATCGATACTAAAACGTATCTGGGTACGATACACATTTTCCAAAGTATCGGGGGGGTTTCATTTCAAACTGACCTGTTACTGATGTTTGGTGGCCCCCATTAACCATTAATGTTAGCGTGTCATTATTAGCCGTTAGCCACAGCTAGCTATTCAAGGCTAACGTCACGCTAATGATCATAAACAACGTAAATAAATAAAAGGCATGTACTATGCCCATATTTGACAGTTTTTTATCAAGCTTGCTTAATACTGTGCAGAGCAACCAACCTCAAAATATTGTTCTTATCTACTTTATTGATATAATATTTCTGTTTAATTTTGGGGTCTTTGTTTTTATCCTTGTGGTATCCAAAATGGTATTGAATATTTTCCTGAGTGTTGGTATCCAGTTAAAAATGTCAGGATCGTGACAACCCTACTACTTTCTGTGTCATTAAAGAGAAAATTAAAGCGGAAAAAAGTCAGAAAATATGAGTTCTTAGGACTACAGTTTGGACCAGAGACCCATGATCACAGAGAGATTTCTGTCAGAGTTTAAACAGAGCAGAGCGCAAAGCATCCAGTTAATTTTAGCCCAAACGGGAAGGAAAGACCAACATTTACAGATGTTTAAAGTGAGTAACATTAGCTGGTCTGGACAGATGTTTAAAGTGATAAACATTAGGGTCTGTGCCCTGCATGGTTTGGCCCCCCAGTCACGGCCCTCAGGGCTCTGGGAGGATGTAGGAATATGCAGGACGCCCGCCCTCACCAGCCGGAGGCCGGGGGCGGAGCTTAGTGTCCGACGGCGTGGAACGGGCCTGAACGTCTCAGCCAGAGCTACGCTCCCATCAGCCACCAGGGCAGAGCCAGGAGACCAGTCCTGGATGCCCACGTCGGGATAAACAAACAAAAATAAGGGTTTTACGGCCTTTTACCGTCTTTCCAAACCACAGAGTTTACAAAACCAGGTGGAAAAAAACGGGAAAAAGGGAAAACTTTGCCATTTTTCTGGGAAAACAAGTAGACAGGGTACTGGATTCAGGTCGTCTTCAGCCTCTACTGGACATCTAAAAACACCTGAGGTGGCTCATTAAGTTTATTTAGACCCAGGAAAGGCTCAAAGAGAGCTAAAAGATTTCCTGTTATGGGACCAATCCACATTTAGACTGACAAACAGAGTAGAGGCAGGACACCAGGGCAAAGCCAGGAGACCCCGGCTGGATGCCCACGTCGGGATAAACAAACAAAAATAAGGGTTTTATGGCCTTTTACCGTCTTTCCAAACCACAGAGTTTACAAAACCAGGTGGGAAAAAGGGAGAACTTTGCCATTTTTCGGCACACACAAGGATCAGACCCTAGAACTGAGCATCCAACAGCTCCTCTGGACGAGTTTCTTAGAGATTCAAGCCCCAAAAAGTCTCCTGAAACCGTTTCTTAGAGATCCAAGTTACCGCATTTTCTGCTCTATATGGCACCTAAAAGCCTTCAATTTTATCAAAAACAGTGGTAACTTTAGCCACGTTCACAGGAGAGACGTGCTGGAATTGGAGACCAATTTGTGTGGTGGCGGCATATTGTTTTTGCTGCTCTCGCTAATAGGGTTGTCAAAAGTATCGATACTTAAAAAAGTATCGATACTAAAATGTTGTATCCGGATATGATACTCATTTTCAAAAGTATCGATACCACCGCGCGAGTCCGCACAAGCGCGCGTGCGCGACGCTGACCTGCCGTCGCTGCGCCCCTTCTCTCAGATTTATTTATGTATTTTTTTACGTTGTTTATGATCATTAACGTGACGTTAGCCTTGAACTGCTAGCTGCGGCTAATGGCTAATAATAACATGCTACCATTAATCAAGTAGGATACATATCTGTCTCAGCCCACATCCAAATCGGCCATTTTGATTACGTCACCAAAAGGAAAATCCCAGGCAAGAATATATTAATGCCTCATGGCAATATAGACATTAATTTAAAAATAGTGAAATTAATCTTTCAAACACTTAATTAAACTCTATCCATAATATTATGTCAAAATAGTGGATGTTAAATAGGTTTGTACAATAAGTCCAAACATGTTTAACCCAAAAATTGTTTCTCACAATTATGAAGGCTGGAGGGTCAGGGTTAGGGTTAGGGTAATTAATTCGGGCCACCAGCCACGATAACATCAGTAACAGGTCAGTTTGAAATGAAAGACACTAAACTGTCAAAATTCAGTTAAATTTTGGGGTGTTTGTTTTTATCCTTGTGGTATCGAAAATGGTATCGAGTATCGAGTATTTTCCTGAGTATCGGTATCCAGTTGAACATTTTAGTATCGTGACAACCCTACTCGCTAATAACCAGATAAAATGATTAGATTTCAGTAAGTTTGCCAAAGCACCAACCGTTCTTTCCATCTTTAGTGGGTACTTTGTTAGCTTAGCCGTTAGCGACTTTAGTTCAGCAGCTAGTGCTGCTCCTGGTGGGAACTGTTGTTCTTCTGTAAATAACTTCTGAGTCCAGTCTGACCGTTACTGTATTTTCCGCACTATATGTCACCTAAAAGCCTTCAATTGTCTAAAAAAAACTTAACTTTGGCCCTGTTCACAGGGGAGACGTGCTGGAATTGGAGACTCGTTTCCAATGTTTATGTGGTGGTAAGGTGTTGTTTTTTATACTAGAAACAATTATTAGATGTCAGTAAGTTTGCCAAAGCACCAACCGTTCTTTCCATCTTTTTTCTGTCTCATAGCCGTTTTAATAAAAGGCTCTGGTAGCCAACCCTGTCGTACGTTAGCTTAGCCGTTAGCGACTTTAGTTTAACAGCTAGTGCTAGTCTTGGTGGGAATTGTTGTTCTTCTGTAAATAACTTCAGAGCTGCTCTTTTTGGAAAGCTGGGAGATAACTGTTGATGTGATTTTTTTAGGGGGATACTGTAAACATTTTTGTCTGCTAACTTTAAACAAGCGATGTGCATGATCTTTCCATTCACTCTTTTCTAACTTCACGGAAGGTCATACGTTTAGGATGTACATAAAAAAAAGGAGAACAAAGCATAGCTGTGCGTCCTGGGCTCCACTGAGGATGAGAGATATGACACTCCTCTCTACAAAGATGTCCAAAGATAAGAAATGCCTTTGGTATTATGCCTTGTTTTTCAGTCTAATAAAAAGCCAAGAGGGGAAGGCAAAAGTCGAAGAGTGTTTTGGATGCAGTGCTGGCGATGGGCTGCATCAGCTCTTCCCTCTTTGCAAAAGGTTTCTGTACTATAAATCACCTTTAAAAAAGCCCTAAATTTTCTCAAAAACATGGTAACTTTGGCCACGTTCACAGGAGAGACGTGCTGGAATTGGAGACTCATTTCCGTTTCCGGTGTTTGTAGCGTGTTTTTTTCTGCTCTCGCTAATTACCAGATAAAATTATTAGATATAAGTAAGTTTTCCAAAGAACCAACCGTTCTTTCCATCTTTTTTCTGTCTTATAGCCGTTTTAATAAAAGGTTCTGGTAGCCAACCCTGTCGTACGTTAGCTTAGCCGTTAGCGACTTTAACTCAGCAGCTAGTGTTAGTCTTGGTGGGAATTGTTGTTCTTCTATAAATAATTTCAGAGTTGCTCTGTGTGGAAAGCTGTGAGATTCCTGCTGTTGGGATTTTTGGGGGGACACACACAACAATCAGACTCAAGAACTGAGCATCCGTTAGCTCCTCTGGACACGTCTTTTAAACAGAGCAGAGAGCGAAACATCCAGTTAATTTACAGCCCCAAATAGGAAGGAAAGGAGTCAGAAAATCGAGTGTTTTCTGTCATTTTAGAGAGTTAGGACTCATTTGCTTTAGAAACTGCTTAAAGCTTTAAACTGGAGCTGAAACGTCTGTTTTGTCTGTGAACGACTCCAGTAGAGATGCTTTTGGACGGGAAAATAGTCAGAAAATCAGATTTTTTCAGCCTCAAAACAGGAAGGAAAGGCCGACATTTACAGATGTAAAAAGTGAGTAACGTTAGCTGGTGAACAGCAGCTTGTCTGAAGAGTAGGGTTGTCAAAAGGGTTGTGTGGTAGCGTGTTTTTTTTATTATACCAAAAACAATTATTAGATGTCAGTAACTTTGCCAAAGCACCAACAGTTCTTTCCATCTTTTTTCTGTCTCATGGCTGTTTCAGTAAAAGGTTCTGATAACCAACCATACTGTACGTTAGCTTAGCCGTTAGCGACTTTAGCTCTTGGTGGGAATCGTTCTTCTGTAAACTTCAGAGAGCTGAGCTGTTTGGAAAGCTGGGAGATACTTATTGTTGTGATTTTTGGAGAGACACACATGAGGATCAGACCCAAGAACTGAGCATCCGTTAGCTTCTCTGGACACATTTCTTGGAGATCCAAGTCCCAAAAAGTCTCCTAAAAACCACCAGTTGCTGGATGCCAGCTCCATCCCTGACCTTTGACCCAGCTGAGCTGGGTTTGTGTGTGTGGGTACACAAGACAATCGGACCCCAGAACTGAGCATCAAGCATCTCCTCTGGACACGTTTCTCAGAGATGAAAGTTACCGTATTTTCTGGACTATAAATCACCTTTAAAAAATGCCTTCAATTTTCTAAGAAACAGACAGTTCACGGGGGAGACGTGCTGGAATTGGAGACTCATTTCCGTTTCTGGTGTTTGCGTGGTGGTAGCGTGTTTTTGCTGCTCACTAATTATTAGATTTCAGTAAGTTTTCCAAAGCACCAACAGTTCTTTTCATCTTTAGTGACTACTGTTCTGTCTTACAGCCGTATTAATAAAGGTTCTGCTAGCCAACCCTACCTATAAGTCACCCAAAAGCCTTACATTTTCTCAGAAACCGACAGTTCCATGGTCAACTTCACAGGGGAGACGTGCTGGAATTGTAGACTTGTTTCCTTTTCCGGTGTTTGTGTGGTGCTAGCTTTTTTTTGCTGCTCTCAGCATCCGTTAGCTTCTCTGGACACGTCTTTTAGAGATTCAAGTCCCAAAACGTCTCCTGAAACCTAAAAACCAGCAGCTGCTGGATGCTAGCTCCCAGCCCGACCTTTGACCCCAGGTGGGCTCACCTGTGCGATGAAGACGACGTGCTTCCCGCTGAACTTCTTCTCCAGCTCCCTCACCAGACGCACCTGGATCTTCTGGAAGGACTTGAGCTGAGGAACGGGAACGAAGATGATGATGGCTTTCCTGCTGCCACCCACCTCGATTTCCTGAAAACAGAAAGATTTAACAATATTAGAATAAAGTCAAACAAACCTGGTTATTTAACCTGGAAATGCTCAGTTTCTGCTTCTCAGTGGAGCTTTTCCCAGCTCCTGAACTCAGGTTTCATCTTCTGTCTGTAATATCTACTGGAACAGAGATCATTTAGTGGAAATCAGAGCTAATTCTGGAGGAGAAAAGCAGGAATTCAACATTTAAATTTGAAATATTCTGATTTATTTTGTTTTCTTTTAGGAGTTTATCCGATTCCCAAATTAACCAGTGGGATCATTTCATTACCTTGTGTAAAAACTGACATCTTTCCATTGTTTTAGTGTAAAATCACCTCCTATTTTCAGAGGCATTCTTCATCAAACTGAGCAGTGAAACACTTTTATCCTCTCAGGTTAAACTGAGTCGGTTTTAGGTCTGAAATCAACCTTTTTCCAGATCCTGAACGCATGATTCCACTTCTCTCGACTCTAGTCGACTGGCTTCAGCACATTGGCAAAAAGTTTACCTTCATCTCTGGAGGAAACCCAGCAGGAACTCTGAGTTCTCTGGACTCAGAGTTTGGATCAGAAGCTCAGATGTTGATGTTTTATCCAGAAAAAAGCTCATTAAATTTGTGTCCTTTTAGGCAGTTAGATGGAAGGACTCATCAGAAACAGGAGCTTAAAGCTTTGACTGGAGCTGGGACGTCTGTTTTGTGTGTCTTTTTCAGCCCCAAACAGGGAGGAAAGACCAACATTTACGGATGTTAGAAGTGAGTTGAAACCTGTTTCAGTGCTCAGTGGAGAAGCTTTCCAGCTTTTTTCTACAGCTCTGGAATAAAGTTAGAGGACTTTCAGTGTCATTTAAGAGCAAAAAAGTCAGAAAATCAAATTTTTTCAGCCCCAAACAGAGGTAAAAAGTGAGTAACATTAGCTAGTGAACATTGGCTGGTCTGGACAGATGTGCAATTTTAGGCAGTAAGATAGAAAAAATTAAAGTTAGGACTCGTTTGCTTTATAAAAAGGAGCTGGAAAAAAATGCTAACGACTCCAAAAGTGGCTTTAAAAAATTTTCAGTGTTCAGTAGAGAAGCCTTCTGGCTTTTTATGCAGCCCTGGAATAAAAAAAATATACGACTTTCATTGTCGTTTACGAGAAAATTAGAGCTGAGTTTGGAGGGAAAAAGTCAGAAAATCTCATTTTTTCAGCCCGAACAGGAATGAACAGTTGCAGGTATTAAAAGTGATAAACACTAGGGTCTGTGCCCTGCATGGTTTGGCCCCCCAGTCACGGCCCTCAGGGCTCTGGGAGGATGTAGGAATATGCAGGACGCCCGCCCTCACCAGCCGGAGGCCGGGGGCGGGGCTTAGTGTCCGACGGCGTGGAACGGGCCTGAACGTCTCAGCCAGAGCTACGCTCCCATCAGCCACCAGGGCAGAGCCAGGAGACCAGTCCTGGATGCCCACGTCGGGGGGGAAATCGGCACAAATACACACTAAGGTTGTCAAAAGTATCGATACTAAAATGTTGTATTCGGATACGATACTCATTTTCAAAAGTATCGATACCACCCCCCCTTCTCTCACATTTATTTACGTTGTTCATGATCATTAACAAGACGTTAGCTTTGTACTGCTAGCTGCGGCTAATGGTTAATAACATGCTACCATTAGTCAAGTACATATCAACTCTAACCACATCCAAGTCGGCCGTTTTGATTAGGTCACCAATAGGAAGATCCCAGGCAAGAAAATCCTAATTGCTTCATGGCAATATAGACATTAATTTAAAAATAGTGAAATGAATCTTTAAAAACACTTAATTAAACTACCCATAATATTATGATAAAATAGTGGATGTTAAATAGGTTTGTACAATAAGTCCAAACAAGTTTAACAAAAAAATATTTATTTCTCACAATTATGAAGGGTGGAAGTTTAGGGTTAGGGTCATTATTGTGGGCCACCATAACATCAGCAACAGGTCAGTTTGAAATGAAAGACACTAAACCGTCAACATTCAGTTACATTTTGGGGTCTTTGTTTTTATCCTTGTAGTATCCAAAATGGTATCGAGTATTTTCCTGAGTATCGGTATCGAGTTGAACATTTTAGTATCGTGACAACCGTAGCACACACACGAGGGGATTCACTAACTCTCACCTTTGCAGCAGTGATGTTCAGCTCCCTCAGCTGAGCCTTTAAGTCTGAGTTCATCTCCAGCTCGAGCAGAGCCTAAGGAAAATCAGGGAAAAGCAGAGATAAATACTTTCATCTTCTTTTAAAGTAAAGATAAGATAAGTTTCCTCAGGGAGTCTTCACAGGGGATCAATAATGTACAAGTTAGTGTCAAAGTCTAAAAGGAGCTAATTACTAAACAATTCTACAAACATCCAAACTTTTCATCCTTAACCCTTTAAAGCCTGATACAAGAATAAAATAAAACAGAAATTTACTTTTTTTTGGTTTGAATTCCTTAATTGGCCTTTTAACAAAATATGAGAGATACATTTTTAATATTTATTTATTACTATGTGATAAGTCAAGATTATTTTTTGTGTAGTCTTCTGCCCCCTGTTATCAGGTGTATCTGATTGTGTACAATAGGATTCTGAGCAAAGTTTTTACCACTAAATTATGCAAAAGGTGTCAGACCCAAACATTTCAGAAACTGTATGTATCAAATATGAAACATTTGGGTTTACAGGGTTAATATACCTGCAGGCTTAGTCAATGTTCAATAATTTATCTAGACAAGCTAACCAACACTAACTAACACCCTGAGTATATTGTTATTTTGTAATATAACACTAGAAATATGCTTCTCCGTGCAGAATAACCTGCTTTTAAATCAGCTTTTCCAAGTAAGCAGGATTGCAAGTGAGTGAATGCCATGTGAGCACTTTTTCTTTACTTTAAAAAAGGTGAAAGTTTCATGTTTCCTTACCTGAGAGATCCCAGACTCGAACTCGTCTGGCTTCTCGCCATTGGGCTTCACTATTTTGGCGCTGGTACTGAACATGGCCTTTGTCTCTGGGAGCAAAAATCAACAAATTTCAAACAAATCAGTCACATAAACGGACTTCACGACCATTTTCCACACACGATTCCTGACCGGCTGCTACACGATAAACAGCCTGAGCTCACACATATGTACAATTTATCTAAAACCTAACTACTTAGTTCAATATAGAACATCCAAAACACCTCAAACTATGGTGTAATAGAAAAATATAACACATTTTGACTCATTTACTTCAAATGCTATCCGGGAAATGTTCCCTTCCCATTTAAGTTTGGACTCAAGCAACACAGTAAAGCCTACAAAGCCTGAAATATAGCCAATTGTACCTAAATTAGCTAAATGAACCTGCAATTTGTCTTTTTTTCCCCTTTTATCTTAAAGTGTGGCTGCCTTTAGCGGCTAACTGAACACATGCACGGCCTGCTAGCTAGTCCCGGCTATACGATACCGTTCGTCATAGCAACACTACTACGTTATAAAACTCAATTTAGGACAGTCATCCGCTCCCAAATGCATAATAATCTAAAGTATCAGAGTCTTGACATAACTTTAAGTGTATTCCCGTCTAACTAGAACAACATAAAATCATATTTTTTAACAGAAAACGCTGTTCTGTGAAAAATAGCACGACTAACCTCTGTCAACGACGGCCAAGGAAGAGACCGGATCATCGCGAGAGTTGAATTAATCCAATCAGAGCGCGTTTTTTTTATAATCGCGAGAGTCGTGGAATCCCGCGGGTTAAATCACAGGAAATATCGCGATGATTCAATACAGCAAAAATACAGCTTGATGGTGGTAGCATTTGTTTGGTTACTTTTAATCTGTTTTAGCACTTTAAGGAACATAACACTATTTAGTTCCACGAGAAAAACAAGCAAGATAAATTGAATATGGTTATTATGCTTATTAGGAATGCCGTTTGACGTTTGTGTTTCTAAAAAAGAAAGTTATCACGTTAGCCGGTCAACGGCGTGGCTTCCGGTGTGTTGCTAAGTTTACTCCAAAGTTTTTTGTTTTTTTCTCTAAATCACACGTTGGTCGGTCAAGTTTATTATGTTTCGACGTGAACGAGTGACCTCCACGATGTCAGCTGGACTGAGCTATGTCAGACAGTGATGTTCAGGCTTTCCGGTGTTTTTAGGGCAATCCCTAAAAGGCTTTTCTGCACAATCGACGAAATGCCCAAAGTCAAGTTTTTCTACGCTGTCAGGAAAGGTTTCAAACCGGGAGTCTACAGTTCATGGTGAGGCCACAAACGACTTTGTGTTGGTCTGAAATGCTAAATCCCTTTGTTTGAAATCCCCATGTATCCTTTATCCTTCACAACTTGGCCAAAATGAGCTGTTTGGAGAATATAATGTGATTAAAAGGGGGAAGAAAATGAAAATCATTGGATTTCCATTGGGCTCCTTTTGAGCAGATGATCCCTGAAAACATCTGCTCAGCATCTTGTATCGGTTATTATCTTTAAAGATGTGCCTTTAGATGTCAATAAGAAACTACAGTAATGAGAAAACTGTTATTTACATTAAATTAAATCAGAATTGGTGAGTAGAACAAAGAGGTTTTCAGCTCATGAAGCATTTAAAAGAGAACCAATTGACTTGTCTTAGATTTTAAATGTGTGTTACAGGTTTGGAGCAGATAAAAACGGTCATGTCATGATTATTAAAGCTGATTTTTAACCTTCATATTGGTTA